AATAACTTTATATTAAATGTGAATTTTGAAAATCCAACCGTTAGATTTAAAGTTCATATCTCTTAGATCATATATGTCAAATTTTGTTAAAATTGAACAACAACTTGAAGGTAATCAAAGTGTTCATATTTTAGTATATTTTGAAATGTATATATTACGTCAATTTTGTTTTATGAGAATGAAGTATCAAATCATCTTAGATTAATATAAAATTTGACATATATGATCTAAGAGATATGAACTTTCAATCTAACAGTTGAATTTTCAAAATTCACATTTAATATAAAGTTATTGAGCGGTGTAACACTTAGTAAAAGTTACACCGGTGTCGTTTGAACCCTCCTCTATATATTTATATTTAATGACTTACATATAATTTTAGTCTCTTTAATTTTTTTTGTCTTTCAAATTTAAAATTAATGTTTTTAGAGGACTATATTAGATTAGGATTTGAAAAAAATATTTTAAAATGAAAAAGGTTTTATGAATTTTAACATATTTTGAAGGAATATAATGATTTTTAAGATTTTTTTAAAAAAATTTTAAAATATAAATTTTAATCAAGACTATAATTCGAATTTTAATAGATTTTGATAGATTTATATTAGAATATTTTAAAATATTTTATGGATTTTACAAGAAAACATGGATTTGTAAAACATATTTAATGCTACAAGAATTAATAATAAAAATAAAACATAAATAATAAAGAAAAGTAAAACCAACACAATTTTTTTCTTCTATTTTTAACAAATAATTTCTTCAATCTTTTAATAAATAATTGACTCGTATGTCCTCCTAACAAATATTTCTTCATATATCTAAAAATAAACTAACTTTCCATGCAATGACATATTCTCTTTCATGCTCGAGTCTGAACAATATGATCAAAATTATAGTCCTTATTAATTAGTAACATTGAAGATGGAGTTCCATCTACTGATTCAATTGAAAATTCATCAAAATGACGTTTTTTGCAAAGAAAGTTATGTAGTGTTACACATTGTACCTTAAATAGAAATAGAGGCGCTGATTTAAAAATTATGAAGTGTGACTTAAAAATACCAAATATCCTCATATCACATTGTCAAGGATACATAATGTAAATTGAATACTTCATTTTTATTTCGAGGGTTAATATATACCATCACGTGCAAAATCATAGAGATGATAAATGAGAGAAATTAATAAAAAGAGAAAAAAAGTAAATGAGATAGAGAAGAAAATGAGAAAGACTAAGAGAGAGAGAGAGAGAGAGAGAGAGAGAAAGAGAGAGAGAAAGAATAAAAGCTAAGATAGGAAAGAGAAGAGGACAGAGAGAAGTAAGAAAGGTGAGGGAGAACAAGAGAGAAAATGAGAATATGAGATGGGGAAGAAATAGAGATAAAGAGAGAGATGAGAAATAGAGAGAAAAAGAGAGAGAGAGATGAAAAACAGAGAGAAATAAGAAAGGCGAGATAGAAGATTTAAGAGAGAAAGAGAGAGAGAGAGAAAAGAAAGAAATAGGAGAAATAGAAGTGAAAAAAAAAGTAATTAGAAATCTCAATGGTTTTTGTGAGATTGTTGGATGAATGAATTACATGTAAATTATATTAAAATGTCTCACAAAATCCATTATTCAAAACAATCAATTGAAATCTCTATGTTATTGAATACTGACAATTTTTTTTAAGTGAAATTTTTTTAATTAAATACTACTAGATTTTGATGGACTTCTAAAAATCATGGTTGTTAATTGAATACCACCAAATTTTGATGTACTAAACAAATCGTGATTATCTTAATTGAATATCACGACTTTTTTAAAAATAAAATTCTTTTAAAATCCATTATAATTTGAAAAATATATTTTAGTCTCCTAGGTCATCAAATTAGCATATAGTGTCAGATTAAGACAATTACGCAATATTATTGAGTCCAATATAATGCTTTCATGGATTTTGTGTGACAATATTTGATAAGTTCATTAACAATATTTGAGTAAAGAGACTAAAATAATTATTTTTCAAATTATAGGGATTAAAGAAAGAAATTGTAAATTTAAGGGAACAAAAACAAATTGATCTCATATTTGAGGGAGTAAAAATAAATTTAATCCTATATTAGTATATATTTTCTTATGACCATGTTATTAATACAAAATATTTATCCATTTTAGTGATGATTACTCTATCAAGGAACATGATTAATAAGCTTTAGTGAAGTCTCCTTTTCCAACTACACTTTTTCATTCATAAGACTCAAATTTGAAATCTTGTGTAAGAGAGTGAGTTTGATATCACTCAGACTAATTACTTGTTGGGAATCAATATACATACACATATAGGATTTGTTGACACCAATTCTAAGTTTTTAAGACTTTTATTTTTGTTGATAAAAACATACTCATATTATATATGATAAGTGCTAAGATTTCATTAAATTTATGGCCTAATTTGGAGCACTTATATCCATTTTCTTTACTTTAGATCTTGTTTTTAATTCAAAACATATCTAAATTGTTAGGTAATCACATTTTGTCTTTGAATCATGTTTTTAGGTAACTTACAAGTATTTGGGTGTTGTTTTGTAGTTTAGGAGAAAGCTAGGAAAGAAGGAAGGAAGTCAAACACAAAGTGGTGAATTCGAAGTTGAAGGAATTTTTGGTTAAGTCGCCAGGCTAAGCCTCAGATCCACGCTTAGCCTCAGCTTTGCAGAGAATCACTGGAACAAAAATTCAATCCTCACGCTGAGCGTGGAATTGAGGCTGAGCGTAGGAGTCCCAGAACCTCATTTTACTCTAGACCTATCCTCAAGCTTAGCGTGACTTCTCACGCTTAGCGTGAATTGTGCTGACATGCCATTATTCACATAAGACAAAAGCTTTTATGACCTAAAAGTGGGATTTTCGAGGAGAGAAGAAAAAGGGATCATTCTTGGAGTTTGTGTGGCGGCTGGAGACCTCTGGAACCTTCAAGATCAAGCTTCTTCCTTTCTTCATCATTTGTAGAGTTCTACATGTCTATGTGTAGCTAAACTCACCCTTGTTGGGGTTTGATGTAACTAAACTCATTCTCATGTGTAAACTCTAAGCTATCAATCTAAGTTGTTATTTAGTTTTATTGCTCTTTTTCTGTGCATAATGCTTGTTATGGCTTGATCACCCTTAACTTGAACTTAAGGTTTTTAAGAGATTGAGAAATGATTTTAAACCTTTGACTTGAAATAGAGCAGCTAATGGTGCTTATTGCTAGAGATAGAGTAAATGTCATTGGTCTTTCTTAAGCTCTTGTTTTTAAAGCTGGTTTCTTGGTTAAACTATGCAAGAGATTGATAGTTTAAGTTAGCAACTTAGATGCCAACTCGTAAGAGATTGGGGTTGGTTACTTTTGAGAGTGATTGATAAATTCTAAATAATAACTATTGTGAACTTAGTGATAAACATGGGAGGAAGGTTTAGCGAAGTCAAACCCCAACAATTTATTAATATTGCATTAGAATCAAGTTTTGCACTCTAAGTGTTTACCAAAATACCAAAAAGAATTGTTATTGCTTGTTTACATTATTTACTACAACAAATCAAACTCTTATTGCTTTTTGGTAGCTTAATTAGTATAACAAGTGAAATTGCAAAGTGTTGCACAAGTCCCTTGGGAGACGATACTCATACTTTCATTGAACTACTTATACAATTTGGTACACTTGCCAAGGGAGATAACAAGTTTCTGGTGCCGTTGCCAGGGACTTGCGTCTCAATACTTAGGCAAAGTCACTTGGATTACTAATCGAAGCTTTGATTCATTTATTCTTTTACATTTTGCAATTAGGATATTCCTTTTCTTTTAATTCATTGTATCTGTGTTGCTGACTGTTTGTTGTAGCTTTGTGATTCTGGTTTATGCGAGGTACTGTTCCTGCTAGTGATTTAGCTTACGACCTAGAAATTGAGAAAACAACTAGGAGGAACAAGGGAAAACTAAGGAAGCAAAGGTTACTAGCCAAGCAGGCACAACACAGAGAGGCTACTTCGTCCTCTCTCAATCCTTCTTTATCTAAAATCTTAGAGGAAGCTGAAATGGAAGAGGAAAGACCAAGAATTACTCTTGGTGATCATGCAAATGCCACTAGTACTACTCATTTTTCTAGCATTGCCACTCTTGCAATCGCTGCCACTAATTTTGAGATGAAGCCAATACTATTGAATCTGATTCAGAATAACCAATTTGTAGGCCTTGATCATGAGGACCCATATCTGCATCTCCATACTTTTATTAAGCTTTGTGGCATAGTGAATATACATCAAGTTCCTGAAAATGTGATTCAGATGAAGCTATTTCCTTTCTCACTACTTGGGAAAGCTAAGATGTGGCTCAATGCTCTACCACATCAAAGCTTAACCAGGTGGTCTAACATAGAGACAAATTTCTTGGCAAGATTCTTCCCTCTTGCTAAGATCAATCAAGCAAAGAGTGAGATTGTCACATTCTCTCATAAGCAAGATGAACTTCTTTCCGAGGCTTGGGAGAGATACAAATCCTTGTTGAGGAGATGTCCAAGTCATGGATTTGATGACCTTACTCAGGTTAACAGTTTTCTGGGAGGATTGCAGCCACGAGTGAAAATTTTATTGGATGCCTCAATTGGAGGTAGCATTCGTTTTAAAACGCTAGAGGAGGCTATAGAGTTGATTGATGCTGTGGCAACAAATGATTATGATTTACCAGCTGAAAAGGAGTCAAGACAAAAAAGAGGAATTCTAGAGTTGGGATCTCAAGATGCTTTATTAGCTCAAAATAAGCTCTTGTCCCAGCAAATTGAGGCTCTTACCAAGCAAGTTGCTCGGATTCCACAACAACTACAATCCACTCAACATCAAGTTCTAAGTTGTGATCTATGTGGGTTGAATCATCCTCATGGGCAGTGCATTGGTACTTTCCCATCTCATGTAGATGAGGTGAATTACATGGGGAATCATGCTCGACAAGGAGGAAATTATGGTGGTAATTATGGGAAGAATTGGCAATCACACCCTAGCACAGGGTGGAACCAGAATGATATTGCTCAGTCTAGTAGACCTCCTATGAAAAAGCCCAACTTGTATGACAAGCAGTCTAAATTAGAAGGAACATTGAATCAATTCATGAAGGTCTCAATCTCTAACCACAAGAGTACTGAAGCATCTATAAAGAATTTGGAGATTCAAGTGGGGCAGCTGGCCAAACAATTGGCTGAAAATTCTGGTAGAAATTTTTCAGCCAATACTCATACTAATCCAAAGGAGAATTGTAGTGCAATTACAACAAGAGGTGGTAAGAGAGTGGGTGTGTTGGAGGATGAGGAAGAGCAGCAGGAAAAAGAGGCAGAAATGAAAGAGGGAGGTGGAGAAAATAATGAAAAAATAAAAAAATAGAAAATGCAAAAGAGAATGTCATAGATGGAAAAGAGTTGGCTGAGGAAGTTGCTGTTAAAAAATCAAAGAGCCAGCTAGCAAGAGAATTGAAGATGAAATCCAAGGTGTCTAGTACTAAGGATATGCCATATCCTCAAGCCCCAAGCAAGAAGGATAAAGAAAAGCAATTTGCACGTTTCATGGAGCTTTTTAAGAAGCTTCATATCAATATTCCATTCTCAGAGTCATTGGAGCAGATGCCCACTTATGCAAAATTCATGAAAGACCTCTTGACCAAGAATAAAAAGTTTATTGAGCAAGAGATCATTGAGTTGGAAGTGGGGTGTAGTGCCATAATTCAAAAGAACTTACCTCTCAAGTTCAAGGACCCTGGAAGCTTTACAATTCCAATCACTATTGGGGACTTATCAGTTGGAAGAGCACTGTTAGACTTGGGTGCAAGCATTAACCTGATGCCCTTGTCTATGTTGGATAGAGTTGGACAGGTGGTAGTAAAACCAACTCGCATGACTTTGCAGCTAGCAGACCGGTCCATCAAGTATCCCTATGGTGTGATTGAAAACATGCTAGTCAAAGTTGACAAATTCACATTTCTAGCTGATTTTGTGATTTTGGACATGGAAGAAGACTCTGATATTCCTATTATCTTGGGGAGGCCATTTATGAAGACTGCACGAGCAATCATTGATATAGGGGATGGTGAATTTAAATTGAGGGTCCAAGATGAAGTGATCACTTTCAATGTATTTGAAGCCACAACCTATCCAAATGATAAGGGTGCTTGTTTCCGAATGGATGTGATGGATGAGGTAGTGTGTGAGGCTACAAAGAAGCTAAAAAAATCAGTTCTAGATGATGTAATTCGCTTGAAGCCACTTCCATTCTCACTTCTTGGGAAAGCTAAATTGTGGCTCAATTCTTATGAGTCATCTAAGCATTACAAGGAAAGGGTGAAGTTGTATCATGAACGAAAGATCGCACAACTTGTGCTCCTTTACAACTCTCGGTTGAGACTATTTCCAAGGAAGTTGAAGTCAAAGTGGTCGGGACCATTCAAAGTTAAGCAAGTTAGGCCTTAGGGAGCAATACAAGTGGAGGATCTTGCCTCTAAAGAGAGTTGGGTGGTAAATGGCCAAAGACTCAAACTCTACCTAGGCGGTGAAATTGAGCGAGTTCATTCCACCGTTGAATTGAACAACCCTTGAAGTCTTAGCTTGTCAAGCTAGTGACATAAAACGAGCGCTTTATAGGGGGCAACCCATCATTCTTAATCCAAAAACCAGTTAGCATGCATTTAATTTCAGTTATTTTGTGTTAGTGTGTTTTAGGTGTATGTACATTGTTAATCATTGTGTTTGCTTCTTAGTTGAGAAAGCATTGTGATTGTGATGGCTTGAGGAACTTCATATTGAGCTATACTTGAAAAGTTTTAAAAATCTGCAGTAAAATTGAAATCTACGCTCAACATGAAGTTCCAAGCTAAGCTATATCAGTGCAAAGGTAGAAGAATAACTCTCTGGAGGTGCCACGCTAATCCTCCCTACCTATTTTCGTGCAAACCCTTGTATCCATGGTGTTTTTGGGCTTATTTTCATGGTTGATGTTCCTTGATGATATTTGCACATTTGTGGTGGTATATTTGTGAATGGGTCTTCTTAAAACCCTTGGAAACCTTATTTTTGTGAATGCCTAGTACAAGATTCAAGTTATTTTGGTGTTCTTGGTGGTGGGTGAAGCCTTTTTGGGGCCAAAAGGGGAGCACACTGCTGCAACCCTCACGCTGAGCGTGGGCTCGGCGCCTAGCGTGGCTATGGAGACAAAAATAAAAACCAGCTTGGTTGTTCTTTATTTTGGCTGATTTTGTGTCTTCCTAATTACATGATAGTGGTTCTCTTGTTTATCTGCTTTAGTTGGCTGCCATGTGATTTTTGCTCCATGTGATACTTTTGTGGCTAAGGGGCCATGATCAACAGTAGGGGGAGGTGATGCAGCTGGCAATGAAGAAGAGTTAGACGAGGCTGAAGAGGATGAGGAGGAAGACTAAGCTGTTTCACTTTGAAAAAATGTTTTATTATTTTGTTATGTTATTTGCTTCTGACTGTGTGGTTTTAATGTGTTTGAAAATTGGAAAATCAAAATTCAGATGTGCATGTATCCCTTAGTGAACAAGGGTATTTTAATACACAAGATTAAATATGTTTGTGGTTGCACTCTAGGGATGATTAGTGATAGTGTATGATAGTTACTTTTGTGGTTAATGACTGTGGCATGATACTTTTGAAAAGTTTTGAGCACCTTTATTAACCCATGTGAGTTTTGGCCCCTCTTGTTGTAAGAGTGTTACCATTTGATTTCATGCGGTTGATTTTGCTTGAGTCTCTTTTGAGTTTGCATAGCATATGTTGTTTACAGATGATCAAGGCAATTCTTCTTGTAAATTTGAGCCACTTGACCAAAAAGCCAACCTAATAAAAAAAAGTGAATCCATTGCACCCTACTTTGAGCCAAACAGTGAATTCATTGAAAACCTTGAAGCCCTTAAGAAAAACAAAATACTCCCACACCTTAGGAATAGGAGAGTAGTAAGATTGATCATAAGAGGAGAAAAATCTTAAGTTTGGGGTATTTTGGGGTGATCATCGTTGCTGAGCATATGGATAATTGTTGCATGTTATGGTTGTACCACTGTGGCCATTAGTCAATTGTTATTCAAATCAAAAAGAATTTCAAAAATAAAAAAAAAGGAAGAGAAAAAAAATATAAAAAAAAAAGAAAAAGAAAAAATTTCAAAAATCAAAAAGGTGATCAAAATATGTGAATAAGTGTGTTGTATGAACTATATGCTTTAGCTGAAGGTAGTATCTTGGGACTTTTGGGAATAGAGAAAGGAAGACGAATTATACATGGTGATCATTAAGACTTGCTCTTCTACTCCTATGGTGTCATTTGTTTACCCAGAAAAACCAATGTCTTTTGTTAGCCCAGCCACATTACAATCCATGAAAGACCTTGTGATCTATGCATGATTATGTGACTGTTTGAATTTGATTGAGATGAAAAACAAAGTTGACTTGTGTGATTCATTTGTGTAAATTTGAGAGATTCCCACCTAAATACACTTGTGTTATGAGAGAAAACACTGATATTGGTGAGGAAGAGGTTGTTCACTAATTTTCATTAGTATCACTACCATGCTTGTTAATCCCTTTGGGAAATGTTGCAATACACTCTTGATATCAAACAGTGTGGGCACCATATTAATTGGCTGATCAAGTGTCAACATTTTCTGGTGTTCAACTCTTGGAAGACATGTATGGCTGTTTTGAGTGATTACCAGTGTTCAAATCGTGTTCAATTAGGATAGTAGGTTGTGTGTTAACTTAGTTGCTTTATTTTACTTTGCTTGAGGACAAGCAAGATCTTAAGTTTGGGGTATTGATAAGTGCTAAGATTTTATTAAGTTTATGGCCTAATTTGGAGCACTTATATCCATTTTCTTTACTTTAGATCTTGTTTTTAATTCAAAACATATCTAAATTGTTAGGTGATCACATTTTGTCTTTGAATCATGTTTTTAGGTAACTTACAAGTATTTGGGTGTTGTTTTGTAGTTTAGGAGAAAACTAGGAAAGAAGGAAGGAAGTCAAGTACAAAGTGGTGAATTCGAAATTGAAGGAATTTTCGGTTAAGTCCCCAGGCTAAGCCTCAGATCCACGCTTAGCCTCAGCTTGGCAGAGAATCACTGGAACAAAAATTCAATCCTCACGCTGAGCGTGGAATTGAGGCTGAGCGTGGGAGTCCCAGAACCTCATTTCACTCTAGACCTATCCTCAAGCTTAGCATGGTTTCTCACGCTTAGCGTGGATTGTGCTGACATGTCATTATTCACATAAGACAAAAGCTTTTATGACCTAAAAGTGGGATTTTCGAGGAGAGAAGAAAAGGGGTTCATTCTTGGAGTTTGTGTAGCGGCTGGAGAGCTCTGGAACCTTCAAGATCAAGCTTCTTCCTTTCTTCATCATTTATAGAGTTCTACATGTCTATGTGTAGCTAAACTCACCCTTGTTGGGGTTTAATGTAACTAAACTCATTCTCATGTGTAAACTCTAAGCTATCAATCTAAGTTGTTATTCAATTTTATTGTTCTTTTTCTGTGCATAATGCTTGTTATGGCTTGATCACCCTTAACTTGAACTTAAGGTTTTTAAGAGATTGAGAAATGATTTTAAACCTTTGACTTGAAATAGAGCAGCTAATGGTGCTTATTGCTAGAGATAGAGTAAATGTCATTGGTCTTTCTTAAGCTCTTGTTTTTAAAGCTGGTTTCTAGGTTAAACTATGCAAGAGATTGATAGTTTAAGTTAGCAACTTAGATGCCAACTTGTAAGAGATTAGGGTTGGTTACTTTTGAGAGTGATTGATAAATTCTGAATAATAACTATTGTGAACTTAATGATAAACATGAGAGGAAGGTTTAGCGAAGTCAAACCCCAACAATTTATTAATATTGCATTAGAATCAAGTTTTGCACTCTAAGTGTTTACCAAAATACTAAAAAGAATTGTTATTGCTTGTTTACATTATTTACTGCAGCAAATCAAACTCTTATTGCTTTTTGGTAGCTTAGTTAGTATAAAAAGTGAAATTGCAAAGTGTTGCGTAAGTCCCTTGGGAGACGATACTCATACTTTCATAGAACTACTTATACGATTTGGTACACTTGCCAAGGGAGATAACAATATACAACTAAAAAATGTTTTAAATACAAGGGAGGATAAGCTTAATGGATAGGAAACGAGGGTTGTTCTTGGAGTCCCTAGCAATAGCATGAACGACTAGGTTTGTTTGCCTTCTTGTAAAGCCAACATGGTAGAGTGGCAACAACCTAAGTATGTTTATCTAAAATGTTTCCATATTTGATGAGGTCTCGTGCTTCTTGAGATATCTTATCTACTATATATTTACAATCACTTTCGATGTGAACATTGTGGTGTTGAGATGATGAAGATGATGGGACATCTTGAAGACTCCTCAAGATTATTTTAGTTTTGATGATGTATTATACAAAAGGATATTATATTGATTGTAATAGATATAGGCTTGTGTTTGTGTTTGTTTATGTTTGATGATGATGAATGCTTAATTCAAGAACTAATCAAGTTTGTTAAGAAACTAAGAGTTTGATTTTTTTTAGTATTTCCATGTGTAAACATAAAGTAATAGATTATCATGGAAAGATAATTTACTACCAAGTGTTTAAACATAGAAATATGACTTGATTCAAACAAGAGATTTCAAGGTAACATTGTTAATCAATTACCATTTATGGTAATAGATTATTACCAAATTGGAAAAGGATATTCAAATGTCCTGTGTGTTAACAGATTACCAAAGTTGGTAATAGATTAAAACAAACTCTCTTGCTTGAAACAAGGCTGAAGAATCAAAGTTTTTATCGGGATAATCAATTACCACACAAGATAATCGATTACCATATCCCGTAATCAATTAACCTAGTAGTTTTATGTTCCTGGTTCAATTTTAAAGAGCTGGTAATAGATTACCATATCAGGTCATAGATTACCTCAGTTATTACTCTTTATAACTGAATCATGTCTTGCACTTTAAATAACTATCTTTTATGAAATTAAAAGAGAAAAAAATTAGAAAATCTTTTGGAAAAAGAACATTAGAGAAAAAGATTACTTTCAAAAAACAAGAATCAGTGCTGATCAAAAGGATTTTTCTGAAAAACCAAGAAGTGCAAAGATTGAACATGAGTTCTTGAAAGAAGAAATTCAAGAAATGTTCTGAATTATGAAAGATCAATATCTACACGAAATTAAGTGATATCTTTATGATCTTTAAACTTGTATTTTCATTTTTAATGGTGTATCTCTTGAGATAAGGGGTCTCAACAAGAGATTTTGAAATCTTGAGTGGGATTTCTCAAGTAATTTCTATGGGGTACATAAATTTTACGTGTTTTCAATATTCAATTCTAAACCATTCCAAGGCAACTAACAGAGAAATGTCTTCTCTTTCCATGATGTTTGGCACGTAAGGTTTGTAGACTAAG